TAAAGTTCATTGTCATAAGTTAATTTTAGCTCCATAATGATGGCAAACAATTCGGTTTGCAGTGTAGACGCCCAGTTGTTAATTCTTATGTCTAGCTCAACATGGTTCTTACCTGTAGAGGCAGCAACAAGAGTCGATGCAGCCCTGCCAGTAGACTCCTGCTTAGATCCATTAGTGTATATAACTTGTGTTATCCTCACACCACTGTAAACAAGAGAGCCAAACATTAACAAATTACTTGTCTTTGTAAGGCCACTAGAGTCACCAGAAAGTTTCCTAGTTCATGCAAGCGGAGAGGCTTTTCCTGCAAAACTGGTTCCTGTAGTAAGGGACGTCACCCTCTACCTCCCCCTCACCATGCATGATTCTCACCACCATCTCCCTCACCCCTTGTTAGATCCTCGCCACCCTCACCCTGTTAGACTCCCACCACCCTCACCCTGTTAGACCCTCACCCTGTTAGACCCTCACCCTGTTAGACTCCCACCACCCTCACCCTGTTAGACCCTCACCACCCTCACCCTGTTAGACTCCCACCACCCTCACCCTGTTAGACCCTCACCACCCTCACCCTGTTAGACTCCCACCACCCTCACCCTGTTAGACTCCCACCACCCTCACCCTGTTAGATCCTCGCCACCCTCACCCTGTTAGACTCCCACCACCTCACCCTGTTAGACCCTCACCACCCTCACCCTGTTAGACCCTCACCACCCTCACCCTGTTAGACCCTCACCACCCTCACCCTGTTAGACTCCCACCACCCTCACCCTGTTAGACTCCCACCACCCTCACCCTGTTAGATCCTCGCCACCCTCACCCTGTTAGACTCCCACCACCCTCACCCTGTTAGACCCTCACCACCCTCACCCTGTTAGACCCTCACCACCCTCACCCTGTTAGACCCTCACCACCCTCACCCTGTTAGACCCTCACCACCCTCACCTTCACCATCCGTGTTCTTGTCATAAGGCTTCCCCCACCATAGTTCTCTAAAAGGTATAAAACTACAATTTAAAGTATCTGTCACAGATCATGCAGTACCCCACCACACCATCAACTAGCATTTCAGTGCTGTTAAAAAGCAAAATAAAATCCGGAATAAAGTATACACAATAGACTAGTTTTGTGTTAAAATATATTCCCAACACTAGTACGTACGTTTAGTCTATCATTAAGTACTGAATTTATGGAATTTTGGAGAACACTCGACTGCAACAGCGATAACACGGGTGAACAAATCTGATATAGTGTAAACCAGCTAGAGGCATGAAAGGGTCTGGAGATGTGAGGTGTTCTTAAAGGTGAGGTAACCTTCCCGAGGCTTCCAACCCTCCCTCTGAAGCAACAAAAGGCCGCTACACCTATTAAACCACATAAGTACGAGGGTGGTTGACCTTGATGACTATGGATAACTGTTCATCTAGCTGGCTGACATGCAGGAGAGTGGTTCTATGTTACAAGAGAATATCGGTTCCTTGCAACCAGTGCACGCCACCCTCCTGGTCTTTGTTTTCTATAGCTCGGTTGGTAGCACACTCAACTCACACATTGAGTGTCCGTGGTTTGATTCTCGCAAGGGATGGAAACATTGGGGAGTGTTTCCTTAAAACATCTACTGTGCCTGTTCACCTAGCAGTAAGTAGGTACCTGAGTGTTAGTCGACTCGTTTGGGTCGCATCCTGGGGATAAAATTAACCTAAGTTGCGGGGCTTTCTATATAGTATGTTACTGATGTCAGCTATAGTCTGTATAAGTTATGTACTTGTAGAAATAAAGATTATTATTATTATTATTGTGTCAGCTCTCGTGTGGCATTCTTGGCCCAGGGGTCAGTCTTCTGGCCCTGATAATGGGCCTCTTATCCGTGGTGTCAGCCTCCTGGCCCTGATACTAGGACTCTTATCCGTGGTGTCAGCCTCATGGCCCTGATACAAGGCTTCTTATCCGTGGTGTCAACTTCCTGGCCCTGATACTAGGCCTGTTATCCGTGGTGTCAGCCTCCTGGCCCTGATACTAGGCCTCTTATCCGTGGTGTCAGCCTCCTGGCCCTGATACAAGGCCTCTTATCCGTGGTGTCAACATCCTGGCCCTGATACAATGTCTCTTATCCGTGGTGTCAACATCCTGGCCCTGATACTAGGCCTCTTATCCGTGGTGTCAGCATCCTGGCCCTGATACTAGGCCTCTTATCCGTGGTGTCAACATCCTGGCCCTGATACAAGGTCTCTTATCCATGGTGTTAACATCCTGGCCCTGATACTAGGCCTCTTATCCGTGGTGTCAACATCCTGGCCCTGATACAAGGTCTCTTATCCGTGGTGTCAACATCCTGGCCCTGATACTAGGTCTCTTATCCGTGGTGTCAACATCTGACCCTGATACTAGGCCTCTTATCCGTGGTGTCAACATCCTGGCCCTGATACTAAGCCTCTTATTCGTGGTGTCAACATCCTGGCCCTGATACTAGGCCTCTTATCCGTGGTGTCAACATCCTGGCCCTGAAACTAGGCCTCTTATCCGTGGTGTCAACATCCTGGCCCTGATACTAGGCCTCCTATCCGTGGTGTCAACATCCTGGCCCTGATACTAGGCCTCTTATCCGTGGTGTCAACATCCTGGCCCTGATACTAGGCCTCTTATCCGTGGTGTCAACATCCTGGCCCTGATACAAGGCCTCTTATCCGTGGTGTCAACATCCTGGCCCTGATACTAGGCCTCCTATCCGTGGTGTCAACATCCTGGCCCTGATACTAGGCCTCCTATCCGTGGTGTCAACATCCTGGCCCTGATACTAGGCCTCTTATCCGTGGTGTCAACATCCTGGCCCTGATACTAGGCCTCCTATCCGTGGTGTCAACATCCTGGCCCTGATACTAGGCCTCTTATCCGTGGTGTCAACATCCTGGCCCTGATACTAGGCCTCTTATCCGTGGTGTCAACATCCTGGCCCTGATACTAGGCCTCTATCCGTGGTGTCAACATCCTGGCCCTGATACTAGGCCTCCTATCCGTGGTGTCAACATCCTGGCCCTGATACTAGGCCTCCTATCCGTGGTGTCAACATCCTGGCCCTGATACTAGGCCTCCTATCCGTGGTGTCAACATCCTGGCCCTGATACTAGGCCTCTTATCCGTGGTGTCAACATCCTGGCCCTGATACTAGGCCTCCTATCCGTGGTGTCAACATCCTGGCCCTGATACTAGGCCTCTTATCCGTGGTGTCAACATCCTGGCCCTGATACTAGGCCTCTTATCCGTGGTGTCAACATCCTGGCCCTGATACTAGGCCTCCTATCCGTGGTGTCAACATCCTGGCCCTGATACTAGGCCTCCTATCCGTGGTGTCAACATCCTGGCCCTGATACTAGGCCTCCTATCCGTGGTGTCAACATCCTGGCCCTGATACTAGGCCTCCTATCCGTGGTGTCAACATCCTGGCCCTGATACTAGGCCTCCTATCCGTGGTATAAACATCCTGGCCCTGATACTAGGCCTCTTATCCGTGGTGTCAACATCCTGGCCCTGATACAAGGCCTCTTATCCGTGGTGTCAACATCCTGGCCCTGATACTAGGCCTCTTATCCGTGGTGTCAACATCCTGGCCCTGATACTAGGCCTCTTATCCGTGGTGTCAACATCCTGGCCCTGATACAAGGCCTCTTATCCGTGGTGTCAACATCCTGGCCCTGATACTAGGCCTCTTATCCGTGGTGTCAACATCCTGGCCCTGATACTAGGCCTCTTATCCGTGGTGTCAACATCCTGGCCCTGATACTAGTATATCAGTAAATTATTTATATTCTGGGTACAATGTAGTTCATATGTGGATTTAAATTATTGATATTGCCTTATAGTTTAGCATGGTATGGATGAATTTAAATAAGTTTAAGAGGTTATGAGTTATTTACAGTGGGCAAAGTCAGGGTATTTTACCAGAGTGGTTGTTAACATACCACTGTGGATAAAATATTTTGAGTGAGTTGTCTCTTTAATTCATCATTTTTTTCTTAATCCAGCACGTAATGACGCAAGTTGCGACAACTGTATTATATTTGGGGTTAAAAAGCTGAATTATTTTATCTACAGTGGTATATTACCCATTAGTCTGGAAATTTTTTTTTGACTTCACCCACTGTATATAACTCATTATCACTTGTGTGTCAACATGTGTGAACTAGTTATAAACATGTAAGTAGTTCATTACCAATGTAATTTTTTAGTTATCAAAACTTTGGGGCCCAGTTCTTGGACCATTATGTACCTATGTAATGTTGAGGTACAGACCCTGAACCCATTATGTACCTCTGTAATGTTGTGGTACAATCCCTGGACCCATTATGTACCTCTGTAATGTTGAATTACAGACCCTGGACCCATTATGTACCTCTGTAATGTTGAATTACAGACCCTGGACCCATTATGTACCTCTGTAATGTTGAATTACAGACCCTAGACCCATCATGTACCTCTGTAATGTTGAGTTACAGACCCTGGACCCATTATGTACCTCTGTAATGTTGAGTTACAGACCCTGGACCCATTATGTACCTCTGTAATGTTGAATTACAGACCCTGGACCCATTATGTACCTCTGTAATGTTGAATTACAGACCCTAGACCCATCATGTACCTCTGTAATGTTGAGTTACAGACCCTGGACCCATTATGTACCTCTGTAATGTTGAGTTACAGACCCTGGACCCATTATGTACCTCTGTAATGTTGAGTTACAGACCCTGGACCCATTATGTACCTCTGTAATGTTGAGTTACAGACCCTGGACCCATTATGTACCTCTGTAATGTTGAGTTACAGACCCTGGACCCATTATGTACCTCTGGATGGGTATGGGGGTGTACAATAAACATATTAAACTATTAAGTCTAAGACAGTAATTAGGATGCATTACACACAGTAAAAATATATTAGATGGTTTATGTGCGTTATGGCAGTTGATCAGAGCAGTATATATATAAGTGGAGCAGAGTGGGGCAAGTCAGTGTTGCAGGGGACTCTGAGTTGGTTTGTGTCACTCCAGCTTCCAGATCACTCTCAACTATCCAGTGTTTCATTCCAGGTTTGTGTTCAGGTAAGTTTATTGGATGTTTTTCTCTGTGTATAAGATGTATAACTGGTCTGAAAGTGTATCAGCTACACGAGGGTCATTAAGGATGAATGTCACCAGTCAAGAATACTTTAAATATGGATTAAAATAAATTCACACGGTATATATGAGACACCTCTCGGTGCATATATTATAAATATATAATTGCTTTTAATGTATAGTTTGGTGCTAATTGACGTAGACAAAGAATTTTATCTTTCCTCTGTGTGTACTCACCTATTTGTGGCTGCAGGGGTCGAGTCATAGCTCCTGGCCCCGCCTCTTCACTGATTGCTACTACGTCCTCTCTCTCTCTCTCCCTGCTCCATGAGCTTTATCAAACCTCGTCTTAAAACTGTGTATGGTTCCCGCCTCCACTACGTCACTTTCTAGGCTATTCCACGGCCTGACGACTCTATGACTAAATAAATACTTCTTAACATCCCTGTGACTCATCTGAGCCTTCAACTTCCAATTGTGCCCCCTTGTTGCTGTGTTGCATCTCTGGAACATCCTGTCTTTGTCCACCCTGTCAATTCCTCGTAATATTTTATATGTCGTTATCATGTCTCTCCTAATCCACTTGTCCTCTAGTGTTGTCAGGTGGATTTCCCTTAACCTAACCTTTCTTCGTAGGACATTTTCCCTTAGCTCCGGGACTAGGCTTGTTGCAAACTTTTGCACTTTGTCTAATTTCTTGACGTGCATGAACAGGTGTGGTCATGCATGTGGTCCAAACTGGTGCTACATACTCCAGTACGAGCCTGACGTGCCTGAAGGTGCCCCGTGGCCTGGTGGCTAAAGCTCTCGCTTCACACGATGAGGGCCTGGGTTCGATTCCCAGCGATGGTAGAAACATTGGGCGTGTTTCATTACACCGGTTGTCTATATTCCCCATCAGTAAAATGGGTACCTGGGTGTTAGTCCGAAATGCTCTGCATAACAAGCTGCTTTCTATATAGTAGTATGTCATTGATGTCAGCTATGTCTGTATACCTTGTACATGTACTTGTAGAAGTAAAGATATCATATTGTTATTGACCTACACAGTGTACATAGTCTTGAACGATTCCTTAGTGATGTGTCGGAACGCTATTCTCAGGTTTGCCAGACGCCCGTATGCTGCAGCAGTTATTTGGTTGATGTGCGCCTCAGGAGATATGCTCAGTATTATACTCACTCTGAGATCATTTTCTTTGAGTGAAATTTGCGGTCTTTGGTCCCCTAACCTGTACTCTGTCTGTGGTCTTCTTTTACCGTCCCCAATATTAATGACTTCGCACTTGGTGGGGTTAAACTCCAGGAGAATGTTACTGGACCAGGCTTGCAGCTCCTGTCCAGATGACTTTAGGGGGACAGGCACCTAAAGTCAGTACCTGAACAGCCGGGCTATGGTTCGTACGTCGGGTTGCGTGCGGTCTACAGTAATAGCCTGGTTGATCAGGCCCTGATCCACTATGAGGCCTGGTCACAGACCGGGCCGCGGGGGCGTTGACCCCCGAAACCCTCTCCAGGTATACTTCAGTCCTATTTGATCCTCTTCCGATTGAATTCTTCGCATTAGCTTCACATCGTCTGCAAACAAGGACACTTCTGAATCTATCTTTTCTGTCATGTCATTCACATATACCAGAAACAGCACTGGCCCTAGGAAGAGAAGATTTCGTTCGGATTTTTAACCCCGGAGGGTTAGCCACCCAGGATAACCCAAAAAAGTCAGTGCGTCATCGAGGACTGTCTAACTTATTTCCATTGTGGTCCTCAATCTTGTCCCCCAGGATGCCACCCACACCAGTCGACTAACACCCAGGTACCTATGTACCTATTTGCTGCTAGGTGAACAGGACAACAGGTGTAAGGAAACGTGTCGAAATGTTTCCACCTGCCGGCAATCGAACCCGGGCCCTCCGTGTGTGAAGCGGAAGCTTTAGTCACCAGGCCACCACCATCCGGGCCACCCCTGTGGAACCCCGCTCTTCCCAGACGCCCACTGACACCTCATCACGTACCATGACTCGTTGTTGCCTTCCTGTCAGGTATTCTCTGATCCACTGCAGTGCCTTTCCTGTTTTATCTGCCTGCTCCTGTGGCTTTTGCATTATCGCTTGTGTGGAACTGGAGATACTTGGAGAGGGTTTTGGGGGTCAACGCCCCCGCGGCTTGGTCTGTGACCAGGCCTCGTGGTGGATCAGGGTCTGATCAACAAGGCTGTTACTGCTGGCAGCACGCAAACTGATGTACGAACCACAGCCCGGTTGGTCAGGTGCTGACTTTAGGTGCTTGTCCAGTGCCTTCTTGAAGACAGCCAGGGGTCTATTGGTAATCCCCCTTATGTATGCTGGGAGGCAACTGAATAGTCTTGGGCCCCTGACACTTATTGTTTTGTCTCTCAGTGTACTCGTGGCGCCCCTGCTTTTCACTGGGATAATGTTGCATCTCCTGCCAAGTCTTTTGCTTTCATAGGGAGTGATTTTCGTGTGCAGGTTTGGTATCAATCCCTCCAGGACCTTCCAAGTGTATATTATCATGTATCTCTCTCGCCTGCATTCCAGGGAATACAAATCAAGGACTTTCAACCGTTCCCAGGAATTTAGGCGCCTTATCGTGCTTATATGTGCCGTGAAAGTTATTTGCACACTCTTCAGGTCTGCAGTGTCGCCAGCCTTGAAGGGGGCCGTTAATGTACAGCAGTATTCCAGCCTCGAGAGCACAAGCGATTTGAAGAGAATCATCATGGTCTTGGCATCCCTAGTTTAGAAGCTTCTCATTGTCCATCCTATCATTTACCTAGGATGGATAATGGTGTCAAAAAATTTCTTACAATCCAAGAAAATGCAATATACCCACTCCTCTCTCTCTCTCTTATCTTACTTCCGTCACTTTGTCTTAAAACTCCAGTAGGTTTGGGACATAGGGTTTCCCTTGCCTGAAACTGTGCTGATTGTTGTGTATCAGCTCATTCCTCTCTAGGTGCTCCACCACTGTTCTTCTGATAATCTTCTTCATGACATTGCATATTATACATTTCAGTGACACTGGTCTGTAGTTTAATGCTGTCTATCTCTCTCCTTTCTTAAAAATTAGGACTACATTTGCTGTCTTCCACACCTTAGTGGCACACTCAGCGCCTCTACTCCCTCTCTCAGTACTCACGGAGATATCTCCAGTCCCACCGCCATTGAGGTATCTAGTTCACTTAGCAGCCTCTTCACCTCCTCCTCGGTTGTGTGTGGCGTGTCCAGCACTTGTTGGTGTACCCCACCATTCCAGCTTCCTGGAGTCCGTTCTGTCTCCTCTGAAAAATACTTCCTTAAATCTCATGTTGATCTCTAAACATACTTGTTGGTCGTGTCTTGTGATTTCTCCTCGTTCCTTCCACAGCCTAATTACCTGGTCCTTGACTGTTGTTTTTCCTCTTTCTTGCCCCTTTCGTATATAAATCCTCTGTTTCTATCATTCTGTCTGTCGTGATCTAGGTACTCTCTCTGATATTTTTCTGTTTCCTTTAGCTGTGGTTTCTGCTGCAGGATCCTGTTTCACACCATTTCTGTCTTAAAAATAATTTGACTAGCCGGTTTCTTCCCCTCGAGTATCCTGGAGTATACCTGGAGAGGGTTTCAGGGGCCAACGCCCCCCGTGGCCCGATCTGTGACCAGTCCTCATGGTGGATCACGGCCTGATCAACCAGGCTGTTACTGTTGGCCGCACGCAAGCCAGTGTACAAACCACAGCCCGGCTGGTCAGGTACTGACTTTAGGTGCCTGTCCAGCGCATCCTTGAAGACAGCCAGGGGTCTATTGGTAATCCCCCTTATGTATACTGGGAGGCAGTTGAACAGTCTTGGTCCCCGGACACTTACTGTGTTGTCTCCTATCGTGCCAGTGGCGCCCCTGCTTTTCTTCGAGGAAATATTGCATCGTCTGCCGAGTCTTTTGCTTTCATAGGGAGTGATTTTCGTGTGCAAACTTGGTACTAGTCCCTCTAGGATTTTCCAAGTGTATATACAAATACAAATTTTTATTTCCTTTCAAAACTTTGGAGTCCAGTCCCTGGACCAATTATGTACCTCTGTAATCTTTTGACTACCGCCCACAGGATGGGTATGGGGTGACTACCGCCCACAGAATGGGTATGGGGTGCATAATAAACATATTAAACTAACTTGCTAATTTATATTGTGATTGTGTAATTACAATAATAAGCTGCAGTACAAGAACCACTCTCATGTCATGGCATTATGGCCAGACTAACTTTAATATCTTACAGACTACTTAATATTACACAAATAGATCATAGTTGTTAACGTTGTACATCTGTTTTTCTGTACAGCAGTCATTAAGTTTACTCAAATTAGAATATGGGGATATTACAATGGACAAGTTGAAAGTATTTTTATAGATTGTATATATCATAGTAATTATTTAAATTATATTATGGGAATATTACAATGTGCATTGTTGAATCATGTATCTCTCCCGCCTGCATTCCAGGGAGTACAGGTTGAGGAACTTCAAGCGTTCCTAGTAAATGAGGCGATTTATCTCCGTTATGCGCGCCATGAAGGTTCTCTGTACATTTTCTAGGTCAGCAATTTCACCTGCCTTAAAAGGTGCTGTTAGTGTGCAGCAATATTCCAGCCTAGATAGATTAGATTTAGATTTTTGCTACCGAATTGGCTAGTTTATTGTGCACCCCATATCCATCCTGTGTACGGTAGCGCGAGAGCATGTGGATACACAAAAGGCCTAGGAACTAGGCCCCAAAAGGATTAATATATATATATATATATATATATATATATATATATATATATATATATATATATATATATATGTATATATATATATATATATATATATATATATATATATATATATATATATATATATTATATATATATATACATATATATATATATATATATATATATATATATATAATATATATATATATATATATATATATATATATATAATATACATATA